GGGGGGGGTGGGGAAGGTATTTGGCGCCGGGTTGCAGGGTTGTCGTAGAGGGTTGTGGGATAGCTTGTGTGATTTGATGTGTGATATGAGTCTGACCCAGGGTGACAGATGTCCAGACAAGCTCGCTAAAGGAGGGGCTTCGGAACTGACTGTGGCGCGCGAGGGGGGGAGTATCTCGTCCCGGTCGGGAGAAGAAGAAAAAAGGGTCGCTTCGGGAATATTATTGTTGTATTTGCTAGAGTTGTTGTCGAGGGGCGTCTGCGGGAGAGATCCTTTTTCGAAACAGTACTCTGTGGGAGAGAAGAGAAGAGAAAGCACGTGGAATAACGATTGAACAGATCAGTTATAAGGCATGAGGAGGAGGGGGGGGAGGGGGACAGAAGAGAGAGAAAGGAGAAGGAATCACGGGAAGATGAGATACGAAGCCCCCAAGTATGTATAATCGTAAGTTGCGAGAAGGGCTGGGGTTATAGCATTTCTGGCCCCATCTTTGGATGGATGCTCTGCCTCGTAAAGACGGAGTAAGGCGACTAAGGTAGACCCGAGTAATACTTGACGTCCATGGACCGGGTACGGTTTAATACTTCGTACACGGCGAACGAGGGCCGTTTTCGGTCGTGTTGCATTGGCGAAAGAAAGAAGGAGAAAAGCACATCCCTGCGATCGCTGGCTGCAGGACGTGAGGCCAAGCAGGAGTCGCCGATGCGGGAACGACGAATCAACACCGGGGCCTTTCCAAAGAAGACAGACGACACTGGACAGTCATCCTCCCAGAGGTCGTGGTCTTGACACACACACGCACGCACGCCTCTCGGATACGTCCCACCCACCCGTACACGGCACTTGCCACACATGAGCATTGCTGACCGTTGTCGCAGCAGCCGTCTCTCGTCTTTTCTCTCTCTCCTTCTGCTTCTCCTCCTCTCTCTCTCTCTCCGCATACCCCCCTTCCCGCACCTCTTCCCCTCCTCTTCCTCTCCTCAGTTGCGCGTATGACTGACTCCGTAGCAGCATGACTGGCCGTCTAAGACGGAGTTGCGGTGCGGACCTCTGAAAGGCAGAGCCAATCCTGGGGCTTGCATACGTGCCTCCGTCCAACACAACCAATGACAGTGTTGAAGGGGACGGCGACTGAAGATTGGCTGGGTAGGTCGTAAGTTGGCCCGTCGCTCCACGTCCGTCCCGCCTCTGCTGGTATTCCTGACTGAAGACCGACGCTGGAGACGAGCAAAGACAAGCGCCGCGGCTGGCTGTCAAGGGTGGGGATGTCAAGCCCAGCTAGACTAGGCCCGTCTCCCCCAAGCCTCTCAGAAGTCGCCGGTGGCCCTTGCTCAATCAATTGTCGGAAAAAGGCCTCTGACTAGCTCGTCGGCCCCTACAAAGCGTCTTTTCGTCCAACCGCTCTGTCTTGGCTTTGTTTTCCTTAGCGGGGCCCTGGGGCCATGGGGTTGGACGGCTGTCTGCGGATCTTCCCTATACCCGCGCCGTCTGCTGCAAGTGTCCGTCTCACGCACCACACACACTGATGCTGCCTCTCTGCGCTTCCCCCCCCCCCTCCCTTTTCTCCCCTTCTTCTTGTTTTCTTGCTCGTAAACGCATCTTGTCAACTACTTCTGCTCGTGTGATTGATACGGTCCGAAGAAGAGGAAGAAGAAAAGGCTTCTCTGGTAGCGCATGGTAGTGGAGGGTAGCATGTAACTGACGCCAAGGCTTGAGCGTCGGATCCCTTTTGATTATCAGCAGCCACTGTATTTCCACATTCATGCGTTGGTTTCCGCGTCGTCACGGGGGAGACGTGCCATGTCGACCGAGGCGCTGTCTAGTCTTCTGGACGATCCCTCGCCGTCGGTCGACATGTAAGACGATGCTGCCGGTCCCCAGGGATTGACTTGGCTGTGAGAGGAGGGAGAGGGAGGAAGGCATCTATCTTTGCGGGCTCGTCCTGCCAACGCAGGGTACGATTCGCCCGTCGGCTCGAGCCCTGCGTGTGTAGGACGACGTGCTCCAGCCTTCCAGATGCTGTCTCACTTCTTTCTTGAGCTTCCGACAGGTCAGGTGTGCGGCCGCTGGTGTGCTGGTGTCGACGAAGACACCCTTGTTGGCTCTGGCTTGCTCCGTCCGGAATAATAAGACCACGGGCCATGCATGCAAGCCTCTTTGCCTCTCTCGGTGCTGTTCAGGGATCTTGATCAGCGTTGACCCACCACCCAAGAACAGCGCCACACACACCTTCTTCCACCTCCCTCCCCCCCCCCGTCCCAGCGCTAGGATGCTCTCTTAACTGGAGAGGTAGAGTCCCATGCCCAGCGTGCGCAGGCGATGACTGCAGCCTGTAGGGATGTCCTGCTCGCTAGGAAATTTTCTTCGTGTCCGTGGTGGGTCAGTGCCAGCGGCTTGTTTCTAGTTGATGATTCAAATCCCCGTGGTAGGGGTTCTCGACTATGAAAATACCCAGCACAGAGTATTATAACGATTCGATATCCCGAGGGTAAGGATATTACTGAACAGGGGGGTGGGAGGAGGACCGGAAGATGATTTCGACCAATGTTTCTGACAGGCTGCAATGGTATTACGAGAAAGTCGAGACGAGATGTGCGTAACCGTGCACCCGAGTACGAAAAATCGTAATACTAACTGTATTACTATCACAGAGAGGAGGAGGAGGGGGGGGGGGGGGGGGGGGGGGGGGGGGGGGAGGGCGGGGGGTAGGCACGCGCACCGGGATGCACCTTCCAGTGCCCGTGTGCTTGCGACGATTTTCTCGACACTCCTGATTTGCGCATATTCATTAGCAGGCTTGCATCGTTCTCCGGATTGTGATTTGCCCAAGCGGCATGTATTATGGTCCAATAGCACTGCCCTGCTATTGTCTCAGCCCTTCTCTACTACTCCGTATGCCTGCTGTCTGAGGAGGGCGGATGATGATTGTGACCTATAACGAGACCGATGTAATACGACGTGATACGCCGTGATACGCCGTGCTGCTATCATCCACGAGACCGAGATAGTGGATGGAGAGAGTTGATCAGACCTGGGGAAGATCGTTGTCATGTGCGAGTCGACGCTCTGCTGGATGACATCGCCCCTTTCAATATCCAACGTCCCGGGCAGCAGAGACATGGCAAATGAGAACATGTGCTGCCTCGGGTCGCCGCTGCGTCTGCTTCATGCCATGCCATGCCATGCCATGCACACAGGGGGGGATGGATAGCCGAGATTTAGTCCGTATGGAGTATTACGGAATAACGTCTCTCTCTCTCTCTCTCTCTCTCTCTCTTTCTCTCCCTTCCTTCTTCCCTCCCTCCCTCTCTCTTCGCCTCCCTCTCTCTTCTCCTCCCTCTCGGACCATCCGCCACATTTGCTGCCTCCGAGCCGAGGTCATATGCGAATGCAGATATTATGCCTCAGCCACACCCACTGCATAGCCTCTTGCCAGCGAGGCAAGCCGTGCAAGACGAGATGACATCACCATCTCGGCCACGCAGGCGGCCAGGTGCTGTGGCTACCTTGCCGAGGAGGAGGAGCAGCCACCGCAGCAGGGCAGCCGGTAGAGCTGAACCTGCAAATATATCGTGCATGCATGCATGCCAGAATTGTGGCTTATCAAGATGATTCGCAGATAATAATAACATCGAGGGAAGGATAACCAGTGGCGGTGAAGAGAATCGTGGTTGTGCAGTCTGCAGTCTGCACGTTGCTTCGCCACAACTGTCCCGGTCACTCAACCCTCAACCCCAGGAGAAGGAAGAAGAGAGGGATTGAGGCTGGTAGCGTAGCACGCGTATACGTATTGTGGCTGGTGAGGCCGAGGAAGACGCCAATAGATCAGCCCGAGAGCTCGTAGGTGCAATGTCCGTGCCTGGTACGACGCAGTGATGCTGGTATTACCACTCAGCAGTACTCGTAGTGCTGCGAGCGATAATAGCTGCTACTGGTAAAGAGTGTTGGGATTACTCGGTGATACGTCGTAATATGCGTAAGATCCTTGTGTGTACGCGCACGCACTTCCTCTCCTCCAGCTACGGAGTACATGATGATACATGGTTATTGCCGCGTATAGCAGCGCAGCGGTTTCATCGGGCCAGGTAAGATTGGTGTACGGAGTGATACTCGTAAGTTGTAACCGATCATCCCGTGCATGACGGAACAATAAAGACACCCCTGTCAAGTGCTTAATGTCACTCTATCAAAGATAGATTGCCGGTACCTATATTTAACACTGGAGGATGAGTAGTATTACCAGCAATACAAGGGCCAATTCGAGACTGTCGGATAGTCGAGTGCTTGCCAAGGTGAAATGTGAAGATTCCTCGAGGCGAGCAGACTCAGACTCGGTAGCCCGACCCTTCGATCCTCTCTGATCCATCCATATTAGGGGTAAGATAACGGGCTACATACGTCTATACGTTTATGCTGCCGTGCATTCTTCATCTGACCCGCCGACTTCGCACCGCCATCGATACGACCTTGCTCATAATAACCATCGGTCACTTCTTCCTCCCCCCCCCCCCACTGGCGGCGGCACTCGAGGATCGGCTAAGAAGCAAGGGTCTGGCTGCGACTCACCGGGGGGTTTTAAATCCCTTATTGGCTAATCAGTGAGACTCCACGAGCCGCGCTGGCAACGAATCGCCGACGACAGAAGGCCTCTACCTCTTTCCTTTTCCTCCTTCCACAAGCCCGACTGTTATACGTACTCTTCCCGAGACATGACAACGGTTTCTTCTTCTTCTTCTTCTCCTCCTCCTCCTCCTCCTCCTCCTCCTTCTTTGGCCTCTTCTTCCTTTTCTTGCTATCCCCAGCAGTAATTCTGGAAGAAGAAGAAGAGAGAGAGAAGAATAGAATAAAAAATATAAAAGAGACAGACGGGAAGAAGAAGAGAGAAGAAGAGGGTAGCAGACGCCACCGAATATCGTACGGGGTGGATGATTGCCGAGCCCCTCTTACTGCTAAGCACGCATAAATCATGCAGAAATACGAAGGAGGTGGGATGGCTACGAGAGTATGGGCTCCAGGCTCCGTAATGATATCAGCACCCGCCCGTACCCTTCCTCGCACCCATCACGGTTGCTGTTGGCTGCTTGATGAGGGAGGAAGCGCGCCCGTCGTCTCCGCGCTTCTCGTAGGCCTAGACATCACCGGCGTCGCGAGGGGATGGGTCTGCACGGGTCCGTCAGCCAGCCGGCCAGCAGTCACATCTCCCCCGACCCTCGTGGGAGGTCATCTGGCCTTCGTACTACCAGGACGGCCGGTAGCTGCTCTCCTGGGTCAGCGAGTGGTGGAAGACCAGATGGCCGCGCCTTTCCAGGATGGGATGAAGCCGGCCAGCTGATCGGATCTCTGTCTTGGAACCAACGGCAAGCGACGGTGGTGACGCCTGGTTTGCGTACACATGCTCCTCTTCGGAGGCCTGCTGAACATCATCTCGTCCCCTCTCCCCTCCAGCACACACGCTGTCCTCGTAACCACCCACAATGCTGGACAATGCCCGGCGTCGAGGTGGGGGAGAAGAGCCTCGGTGCCGCCCCATCCCGCGTGCGCGTGGACCTGTACCCGCGTCCTCCTCCTCTCCCAGGCAACTGCTGCCATTCTAAGCGCTGCGACGGGGCGCATGATCCGCGATTGACGTAGGTCCTCAGCATCGACGGAGTGCACCTTTTATTTATTTTTTATTTTTTTTTAGCGAAAAAGCAGGTGTGCGTGGGTGGCGCCGGCCGGGGAGGGGGCTGCGCAGATGTCGACGGGCTCCCATGTCCATGTACTCTCCGTACCAGCCCTTCTCTCCACACCCACCTACCCCCCCTCTAAATCCCTTCTTGGTGACGGGAAGCTGTTGACGGGAACCTGTTGACGGGAGGGCTTCGGCATCTGCAGCGTACTTGTCTAGGTACACGTCTAGGCACACGTTGGCGTCGCGTCATGCGATCCCGACTTCTCTCCCGGCGTTGATGTGTCGGGGGAGGGACGGGCCGCGATTGGGGGCCGAGGGAGCTTCTTCGATGCGCAGGTATATGCAGTCTTGACGGCTCACTCTATATCTCTATATACCGGGTGAGCAGGGTTGTAGGTGAACGGCGAGTAACGTCATGGATCTTAGTGATAGACTATGGCGATCCTTCGTACTATCGATGCCGACGTAGATGCTTCGGTCGGGTAGCTCACCATGTCCGTCGCAGGGCTCCGAGGCCAACCCACGACTAGAGATGAAGCCTGAAACGCCGTTTATCCTGTTTTTTTTTTTCTTTCTTTTTCAATGTGAACATCGTCGATTCTACCTACATGTGATGTGGTACATATTCATGCGTTTTTACTCCACCCCCTGCACCGAAGCATCCATACAAGATAAACAAGAGAAGAAGAGTCAGGCGCCATCATCACTGCTCATGCGGCAGCGAACCTAGCCGCACGCTTCTCAGCCTTGGCCCTCTCAGCCGGGTCGTCCAATATCCCGGAAGACTTGGCCGGAGCAGCGTTCCTGCTGTTGTCGTTTCCCCTCCGACGACCGCCGCCGTCCCTTCCACCCCTCCTGTCGAGGCTCTGCCTCTTTCCGGGCCTGTTGCCGCTGCCGCTCTCGGCTCCGCGGCCACGCTTGAGAGGGCGCTCGGGCAGGGCAGAGTCGAGGCTCGAGGCGAGCTCTTTGGCGTCGATGCCAAAGCGCGCGGCGCGCTCGGCGCGCTTCTTGGCATCGTCGTCTTCGTCGATTCCGAAGCGCTTGGCGCGCTCGGCACGCTTCCTGGCCTCCTCCTCGGCCGCCGTGGACGAGAGGCCGATGGCGTAAGAGGCGGCGGGCGCGGCGGGCGCGGCAGCTTCCTCGGTAGCATCGGCAGCAGCGTCCTCGGCGGGCTCCTCGGCGGCGGCGGCGGCGGCGGCGGCGGCGGCGGCGGGTGCCCCCTCCTCGGTCTTCTCCCCGGCCTCTTGGCCTGCCGGCTCGGCCTCGACGGCGGCGGGCGCGGCAGCCTTGGGAGCTTCGTCGTCCGAGTACGTTATCTCGTCTTCCTTGGACTCTGCAGGAGTATGTTAGCCTGGACGTCCTCGCCTGACCGCATGTGCGCGCGTAGAGCTGCCGAGGGTGAGCTGGGGGTGTTCCGGAGGGGACAAGAAGAAGAAGGGAGACTCGCCTGCCTTCTTGCTGGCGGGCTCATCATCCTGGGCAGCAGCATCAGCCCCGGCAGACTTGTCGTGCTCGTTGAGGCGCGCGACCAGGTCAGCCTTGTTGCCCGACTGGGGAAGGCCCTTCTCGGACAGGAGCTTCTTGAGCTCCGGCACCTTGAGCGACGAGTATTCGGTCGCCATGGCGTTGTCGGGAGACGCGCAGGACGCGGAACGAAGGGGTGTCAGGAACGCGCAGCAGGGCGCGAGGGGTGGGGGGGGGGGGGGGGGGGGGGGGGGGGGGGGGGGGCGTNGAGGGAAGCTATTCTGAGCTCAGGCGCAAGAGGCGGGCGACCGGTATCGATGCCGTAGGATGATTGACCTGGACGGTGACGGCAATGGCGGTTGCTGATGATGTTCGTGATGGGAAGGGGTCTGACAGCAGATGATGGAATGGAGCGCTCCCGCTCTGGCCCTCTGTCCTGCATCTCTCCCTGTTCTTGGGCAATTTTTTGACTACCCGGGACTCGGGACGAGGGCGGGTGAGATGCACGGGCCACTCGTGAGGCGGCACAGAAGCTTCCCCAGATTGGAGATGAGGCGCAGAGACAGCAGCTACTTGTGGCTTGAGATCGTTCGAGTCTCTCAGGGGAGGGGGGGAGGGGATTTTGGCTGGCTGGCAATTGATCTGATTCGTTTTTAGGGTCTCACCGAGTAAAAATGTACGTAGTACTACGACGTATGACTCTGACGAGCCAGGCAAGAAGAATACTACGTCGTACGTACGGGAGTAGACCATATTACCAAGTGCTCCTCCAGTTCTCTCTCGTGGATAGTGTCACTACGTCCCTCTATGACTTTGGGGAGGAATACGGAGTAGCAGTACATAGCAATGACTCTCGGTCGTCCTCTAAACCCTTCCCAAGGCGAACATAGTATGACCTGCGACGATCACGTCGTACTTGTACCTAGACGGCAGAGCATTGTTCGCTCTGTCTGCTTACAAGAAATGGCTGATCAAGGGCGCCCGGCGATGCCCAACGAGTTAATCCGATGTCTTGGGGGGAAGCTCCTGCTGTAGCCTATTTGACATCTTGACCGTCGCGAACCAACACGCCATTCCCATCGTGACGTTTCTATGCAGATGCACCTCATTTAAACACCCCCCTCCCCCCCAACTTTTCCCTCTCGCTCTCGGCACAGCCCGTATTAAGGGTCGCGCGTCTCGGTCTGGATCGCCAAAGAATAAGATAGCGCGTGCACCGCCCAGGGGGTTCTAGACCCGCTACTCACTTTTAGCATTGCATATTACTCCGTACGGAGTATTACAGTATCGAACATTACAGACATCATCCTTTTCCTTCCCCCTCCCTCCCCAATTCTTCAAGCCGACCCCATCTCACCCACTCTCTCCCACTCTCTCTCACTCTCTCACTCTCTCCTCTTTTCCTTCACGTTGAAAGGACCACCCGCGTCGACAGAATCAGGAGGACCAAGAAAAAAAAGAAGAAAAAAAAGAGGGACCTAGTACCGACTGACCGGACACGTCACTCCAACCCTCCTACCTAGAGAGGCCGGAAGATGCACCCTGCGTCGTCACGGGCACAATCAGCATTACCGCCTCGGATCCGATCCATGATATACGACCAGCTGCCCACCTCCGGACGACGTCTTCTCCCGAATTGAAAGATTTCTCTCTCCTCTCTCTCCCCCGCTGGCACTGGAGCGGCGTCGAGCCTGCTCCGGTCCCCTCGACACCATGATGACCAGGCGCATCGTGAGTGGCGGACCCTTGCAGCTCCTTGCCGAACCTCTGGCTCTCGTCCTCTCTCTAACCAACCACCCCGCTCATCCCTCTAGGCCCGGACCCTGACGCAGCTCGCGACAGCTGCCATCTTCCTCTCCGCCATCGTCTTCCTCCTCGACCACAACTACAGGGTGCTGCCCAACTCCCTGCACGAGTACATGCCCACGCACCACGCGGGGCTGGTGGTGACGGACATAACGGTGCTCGAGTGCTCGCGCATCAACATCTTCTCCTCGTGCAAGCTCGACGCCAGCCGGTGGGAGCGCATCGACAAGGAGCTCCACCTCGGCCAGTCGTGGACGTCGGCCGCCTACGTCTTCGTCAGCCGCAAGCACGAGCACGACCTCTCCCCCGACGACAAGGTGGTGCTGGACCTGACCGTCGGCCGGCTGGACCCTTCGTCGCGCTCTGCCGCCGTCGACGACAGGTGGGAGTCGCGGCCGGCCGGGCTGTGGATCAGGCGCTCCGCCAAGAAGCGCTCCAGCGACTCGGTCTTGGCCGTCACGGGCGTCGACGTCCTGTTCGGCGACGACGCCGTCGAGGCCCGCGACGGCTGGGCCATCACCGGCACGCCCCTCCTCCTCAGCTCCGACCGGAGGGACATGATCAGCGCCCACATCACCATGCGCAGGGGCGACGCCGACCACGACGCCGGCCCCAGGAAGCCGGTCCCGCGCATCCCCCCCAGCGGCCGCTTCAAGATCATGCAGATCGGCGACCTGCACCTCAGCACGGGCGTCGGCGTCTGCCGCGACGCCGTCCCCGAGGGTTTCGACGGCGGGCCGTGCGAGGCCGACCCGCGTACCCTCGAGTTCGTCGGCAAGATGCTCGACGAGGAGAAGCCCGACCTCGTCGTCCTCAGCGGTGACCAGATCAACGGGGGTACAGCGCCCGATGCGCCGACTGTGAGTGCTGCCTCTCTCCCTCTCTCCCTCTCCCCCTTCCCCCCCTCTCTCCCCCGTCCGCCGTGTTGCCGGTGACCGCTGAGACGTCGCGCCTAGGCCATCTTCAAGATCGCCGCCCTCCTGATCAAGCGGCAGATCCCATACGCCTCCATATTCGGCAACCACGACGACGAGGAGACCATGAGCCGCGCGGCCCAGATGAAGATTTACGAATCCCTCCCCTACTCGCTCGCCACGTCCGGGCCGGCCGGCGTCGACGGCGTGGGCAACTACTACGTCGAGGTGCTGGCGCGCGGCAAGTCGGACCACTCCGCCCTGACGCTGTACCTGGTCGACACTCACGCCTACAGCCCGGACGAGCGCCACTTCCCGGGCTACGCCTGGGTCAAGCCCAGCCAGATCGACTGGTTCCGCCGCACGGCCGACAGCCTCAAGGCCCGCCACAGCGAGTACACCCACCGCCACATGGACATCGCCTTCATCCACATACCCCTGACCGAGTACACCGACTGGGACCTCCCCCGGGTCGGCAGCTGGCTCGAGGGCGTCACGGCCCCGACCTACAACAGCGGCTTCCACGACGCCCTGGTCGACAAGGGCGTCGTCATGGTCAGCGCCGGCCACGACCACTGCAACGACTACTGCTCGCTGTCATTCAGACCTCGGTCCGGGTCCGGGGCAGCAGGCGACGTGGCCGACCACCGGAAGAAGACGAGGCAGGAAGTCCAGATCCCGCCGGATGGTCACCAGCAGGCCCAGCCGGCCCAGGACACCACGCCGGCGATGTGGATGTGCTACGCCGGAGGCGTCGGCTTCGGCGGCTACGCGGGCTACTTTGACTACGTCCGTCGTCTGCGCCTCTTCGAGGTCGACACGAACGAGGCTCGCATCACCACGTGGAAGAGGTTAGAGGCCGGTAACACGGCTGCCAGGATTGACGAGCAGATTATTGTCGATGGCGGGAAACCTGTTGCTCCTATGCCACCTCATTAACTTTTTTTTCTTTGTCTCTCTCTCTCTCTCTCCTCTCTCTCTCTCCTCTCTCTCTCCTCTCTCCTCTCTCTCTCCTCTCTCTCTCTCTCTCTTTTTTCTGCGTCTTTTTTTTAATAAAATAAAAAAAGATCTGCCCGTATGATTCATGTTGGGCGCCATCTGTCATGTATTTCTTCCCCGTCTTCTTCTTATCTGTTTTTTTTTCTTTTCTTTTTTTTCCTTCCAGCGTTCCTGTATCAAACTTTCAAGGGGAGACGGAAAGACTTTGGAGTGCATCATCTTTTTTTTTCTGTCAATTTTACAAAGAGAAAATGGGAGAAATGGGTAACATCTATCTGTTTTTTTTCTCATTCTTACTACTTGGTATTCACTTGGGGTCTTTTGATCGGTTTTTTTTTTTCCAAAAACAAAAACAAAAATATGTATTTTTAATAACCCAGCTTAACCCCAACACCCCCCCCCCCAAAAAAAAAAAATTACATATATATACATGGGCTGGTAAGGGGTATCAGATCGGGCCTGGGGGGGTAACAAGAAAGAAAATGGAGTAACGGCTATAGAAACTGTTCAAAAACCAAAGGTTTAGAAATGTATATGAAGAAAGAAACACATGATAACATGATATATTCTATGTCAACATGTGAACAAAGGTCGTCGTACTCGCGTATTTCACGTAATTGAATCGGCTGACCGTATCAAACACACCTGCTCGTGCGGGTAGAGTTGCCTGGCAGTCCGCTTGGTAGTTGTACGTCTTTTCCACGAAGGCGAAGGCCTGCTGGGCTTTGCTTGATATCGCTGCCGATGAAGATGCTGATTCCTGCTAATGCCGGTTCTGCCCTCGTCGTCGTCCTGAACCCCCATCCTCGTCGTTCCGGTAAGAGAGCAGTGACCGCCCCTCTAGTCGGCCATCGGCAGCGACGTCCGAGCTCGCCACCTCAAGGGCCCGAGTCTTCCCTGTCTCCGGATGCGGGTATGACTGCCATGGAGGGTCAGGGAGACAAGAATCGATCAAGACAAAGAGGACGTGCTTTGGCTCCAGGGTAGTACATGATGAGAAGCCGTCCCGCCGCCGAGTGCCGTGGGACAGCGACGATGCTAATCATTGTCAGGATTCATCAACCATAATTCCTCTCGGTACGGGTGGCGGTGGTGGGTCAGGTCAATGTGCTGAGATATCTGCGTTCTCTGATCCCCATACGAACTCGCAGTCCTCCTCCGCCGCCATGACCGTTGCTGATGCCGCTGCCAATGACGCAGTTGATGGTGCCGCGGTGCAGGGAGACAGACTTGGGCTCGTCTGGAGAAAGCCCTTGAAAGGTTCCGGAACCTCGGTCATTTTTGAAGAGAGGCTTTCTTTCTTTCTTTCTTTCTTCCTCTCACCCTCCTTCTCTTCTCTTCTTCTCCTTCTTCTCCTCAAATGCCCTACATAAAGGGTTAAAGGGTTAGGATGGAAGAGAAAGATGATGAGAGAGTAGATGAGGGAGGGGGAAAAGGGCAGCAACGATGGACCAGCTGTGCCCGTCGACTTGACTGCTGAATGGCAGCTTTTGGACGGTCGTTATTGCAGGTGAATATGGGCGGTTGCATGGCCGAGTTGGGGGTTGGCATCATCGTCTTTTTGGGGGGAGGGTGAGGTCGCCCACTAACATCACAGCCAGGTGAGGCCACTCGAGACCACCAGCCTTGTGCTTCTAGTGGGGTGACGATACGCCATGACCGTTAGAGGTAGATGCAGTGGTCTCTCTCTACCTACGTATACGTCCTGGACCGATACGTGTGTGTTTCCAGTTGCTTTGCCTGCTGATTGCTTGCCGAGTATGTGTGGCAGTAGCCGGGGAGGGGGGGGTAGAGCGCACCACGCTGCCCATCAGCCGGGTCTCGCAGTACTCACTCGCGTCCGGTCGTGGCCCGATCAGCCATGGCGGATCCTTGCGCTGACCCGCGTGCGAGCGAGCCGTGGGGTTGCCGTCTCGGTCATCTGTGCTCACGGTCGTCGGGTGATGGTGTGGTGTGGTATGCGTTTGACAATGTTCTCGTGACTCTCGATGGCACATACCCCTCTCACATTACCTACTTCTTCTCTCTACTGTCATGTATATCATAAGAGTCCACGCTCATCCCAGAGACCGCCAGGATGTTGTCGACCGTATCTAGCGGAGCTGACCATCTTGAAGCACAGGTAACCTACCTATCCTTCCGAGACAGGGCAGACATCCTAGACAGAGGCAGCCGCAACCTAGAGGGTACGATACCTTGATATCCGTAGCATCGTCGTCATCAGCTCAGCCGTTCTCATCATGCCAGTCGTCAGATCAGTCGTTGTCGTGAGAGGTATGAGGGGTTCTTGCTTCCGTACTCCGTACCAGTTCCGTACCACTACCATGATACCACACTTACACATCATGACGAAAAATATCCTCACTCGAAGCAGGTCATGCAAGACACTGCATGTACACAGATGCAAATGCAATGTATAAGAAGAAAAGTTATAAAGAAACATCTATCTATAGTATAAAACAACAAGATGCTATGTCCATGCCTCAGTCCTGACACCTAAACACCATGTATGTATGCTCTTGGTTATTACTGGTAGATACCAATCTAGTATACGAACCAAAAAGGCAAGAATGAAAAATCAAAGATGGAAAATGGAAGAATGGAAAAAAATGTCGTTTCTTTACAAGAGAAAACGCATGGGATATCAAAAGAAAAAGGGGGGGAGGGGAGGGGGGGTTAGTTAGGTTTGTGTATAGTAAAGAGATAAGGGGGAGGGAAGCAGAGGAAGCAAAAATGAAGAAAAAAAAAAAGGGTAGATATGTAGTAGAGAAGACGCGGAGAGTAAGAAAGACAAGAAGAGAGAGAGAGAGAGAGAGAGAGAGAGAGAAAGATGAAAAAGAGATGAAAAAGGGGGAAAAAGACATCAAGAGAAAAGAAGAAATGGCCAGCGGGAAAAAAAAAAAACTCTCTGGCCAGCGCACCCCGATCATCATACCCTGAAAACCTCCTGATGAACCATCCTGAGAACCCAGCTGGCCTCGGTGGCGCTCGCGAACTGAAAGCACCACTTCTTGACATTACCCCCCGTCGGACCCGTGGCCGGCGCCCCGCCCACCACACCGTCGTCGTCCCTCACCTCCTCCCACACGCCGCAGACGATGCCCCTGCTCCCCATGGGCGAGAAGCACCCGCTCCCCAGGACGGCGTCCAGCATCACCCGGGCCGGCCTGCCCTTGTCCCTGTCCTTCTTGGACGAGGCCGTGACGGTGACGCGCTTCTCGAGCCCGTGGTCGGCCCTGAGGGCCTGGTGCCACCCGGGCGGCGGCCGGCGGACCTGGAGCACGCAGTTGCCGTGGTCCTCCCACTTGGACGACGAGGCCACCAGGAGGTGGAGCCTGATGCGGATCGTCTGTCCGTCTCCCAGCTCCATGGGGAGCCTGCCGCTATCCGATCCCGAAGACGGCCCGATGCTGACGGACGGCGAGCGCGGCGAGCTGGCAGAGTCCGAGTACAGGCTGTTTCGGATGCTGCCCGGCCGAGACTGCTTGTCTACCGACGACCGCGCCAGGTTGAACGTCAGGTTGCCCGCTACCGTCAGGCGCCTGAGGAAGCTCGTGGCCGACACGTTGGACGACGGCACGCTGCTCGCCCTGTCGGTCGGCGCCCGCACCGATCCCCTGTAGCTGTTCCTGCGCCCGAACCAGGTGCGTCGTCGACCCTTGGCGTTGGCGTTGCTGCTGCCGTCGTCCGGGCCTGCGCCCGCGCTCGCGCCGTCGCCCCTGGACGTGCCCGTGCCCGGTCGGTTCTCGCCGAAGCTGCGGAACCGCGCCTCGTTCTCCAGCTGCATGAACTTCTCGTTGTTGAGGCGCGCGTGGTGCACGGACATGTACATGCTGAAGCTGTCCTGCTGGCTGCTGCTCCGGAACCGGAAGTTGCCGCCCGCGTGCGACTGCGCGAGCTTGCAATGCCGCTGCAGCGACGATCGGATCTCCAGGTCCACCGTCGTGCTCTGCCGGATCAGGACCACCGGCGTCAGGTCCATGGCCAGCACGGGCTGACTGCCGGTGAAGTCCTCGACCGCCGCCGCCGCCGCCGTCTCCGGCTGGACGCTGTGCACCTCGATGAGGCCGGGCGAGACGATGACGAAGAATGGGTCCGTACCCAGGTCCTTCCACGCTCCCTTGTCCGACCATCGCGACACCCACGCCATGTATCGCGACGTGGTGTCGACCGGCGTCGGCGGTGTCGCCCTGCCCTCCTGCTCCTCTCCCTCGACGGCCGACAGCGATGACGGACGACCGAAGCCGGCCTGGGATGCCGAGTTGGACGGGGTGAGGCTGCACTCGGACGCGGCCATGATGGAGCCGACCCTGAACCCGGCCCCGGATGTCGGGCCTCCCATCTCTGTCGACTCCGGCTCGTCCCTGATGCTGAATCCGAGCTCCGTCTCGGGGACGTCATCGATGCTCTCTAGATCGTCGTCGTCGTCGTCGTCGTCGTCGTCGTCGTCGTCGTCGTCATCTTCGTCATCGACGGCATCGTCATCGTCAGAGTCAGACTGGGATCGGGAGTGGGAGTGGGAGTGGGAGCCAATGTCGGACGAGTACTCGGCGTCGTCGGTGACGGATGCTCCGGACAGACCCGACGCCGACGATACGTCAGACGGCAGGTACTCGTGCTTGAGCGGCGACGACGTCCTACGCCTGACCTTCCCGCTGTCGCCCTTGAGCTCGATCGGTGGCTTGACGGGCGTCGACTTGGGCGTCGACGGCAGCGGCTCCGGAGGCAAGTTTCTGTGGATCGGCGGGCGCGGTGCTCCGTCCTCGCGGAACGGCTTGGGCGACGACGGGGAAGACTTCTCGACCAGCTTCGACGGGTCGGGCCGCATATCCTCGCTGAGCGGCCTGCTGCGCTCCGGGTCCTGCGACGACGGGAGGTAGTCGCTCTGCGTAGGCGTCCTGTCCCGGCGGGACCGCTCCTCGCTCTCCTTCCTCGTCAGGCGAGGCGGCGTCGTGGGAGGCGAGCTTGCCTTATGGCCGCGCGGGTTCCTGCCGCGGATGCTCCTGGCACCGACGGGGATGTCGGTGGGCCGCGGGGACGGGGTGCCGTACTGTCTGCTGCTGCCGAGGTGGTAGTCGTCGTCGTCGTCTTCGATGACGCTCGGCTCAGGGTCCCTGGGCGGCACGGGGGTGAGGGGGAGGATGTCGAGCCAGTCGAGGATCTGGTCCTCGCTGTCGGACGTGAGGGTGAGGAGCTCGTGCCACCGGCCGCCGCGGTGGCTGCCGCGCACCATGACAACCATGTCCAGGTTGCCCTCTCCCGTGCGTGCCGATACGTGGGCGGCGGAGATGGGTGCGAAGAGGAGGTAGGATGCGCTGCTGCGGCCGCTGCCGTCTCGGCCACGGCCGCCACCCGTCTCGCGGATGAGCAGGTCGCCGGCATCGTCGGGGTCTTCCGTGTTGTCGCGGTAGACCAGCTCGACCAGGCACTCGAGACGCTGGCCGTTGGAATGGGCCAGGTCCAGAGAGAAGAGGTCCTTCGCGTTGACCTGGCGGCGGGGGTCGATGGTGACGGCGTCGAGGGGGCGCAGGGTGCGCAGGTCGCGCGAGCGCGTCGTGTCCGTGGCCGTGGCCTCCTCGTCGACCAGGCGCGCCGTCTCCTCCCTGTGGCGGCGGCGGGCCTTGTCCTGCAGGTTCCGGAAATCGTTGACGAGCTCGCGCGTGTCGTCCGAGGCGATGATGGCGTCGGCGCACTCCATCAGCCTGGCCAGGTGCTTGATGCGGATGAGCGGCCGCTTGAGCAGGTGGGCGACGTCGACGCGTTCGCCGTACTCGTCGACGACGTCGCCGTTGTCGTCGAGCGGCATGGCGTCGAGCAACGAGTCGTCGTCGTCGGGCCGGGCGCCCAGCGCGGGGGCCAGGTTGACGATCAGGTCCTGGAAGCCCAGGCGCCACGAGTCGAGGTAGCCGTTGTAGATGGCCACGGCGCCGTGCGCCCAGTGGGCCAGCCGGCGGAGGTCGTGGTGGGGGGCCTTCTTGTGCGCGCTGCGCAGCTTCTCGAGCGCCACGCCCATGCCCACCACCGACTTGGACAGGCTATCGAGCCGCCGGGCCTCCCAGCCGAACAGGTCGTCGTCGGCGGCGGCCGGCCTGCCGCCCTCCGCGCTGTGGACGACGTGCGTGAGGAGCACGGGCACCACGCCGTCCACCAGCGTCTTGAGCTCCCTCATGTAGAGGCCCTCGTCGTCGCTGAACTCCCTGAGGAGCTCCTCGGCCGACGGCCTGCTGCCGACGGCGCCGCCGCCGTGCGTCCGCGCCTTGCGCAGGCTCGGTCTCGACCGCCTGTTCTTGATGGTCTCGGGGATGCTCACGTTGTCGGGCACGGACAGGACGGAGACGAGGTCGGAGTGCTTGGTGAGCCGCCTCTTGAGCCCCCCACCACCGCCAGCACCACCGCCGCGGCCCTGATGGCTGTCGCCCTTTGAAGACTTGGACTTGGACTTGGACCTGGCAAGTTCGCCGTCCCTGCTGAGGACGGTGGACTGGGTCGGCGTCGACGTCGTGACGTCCGACGCCGTCCGGTCCGAGTTCACGGCGCTCGAGACCTCCTCGGACAGGATGGTCGAGAGCTCGTGATTTCCCTTTGTGGGCGGTCGGAATCGGGGGCCGGCCATCTTGGGGATCACCAGCGGCGGCGGCGCCAGCGACGAGTGGTAATGTGCGGCCGAGCTGGTGGTGGAGTAGCTGAGATCCGAGCTGGTCGAGGCCTCGCGCTGCAGGTGCGACTTGGACCGCGAGCTGCTGTGTCCCGAGGTCGGGCGGTCGCCTTCGTCCCCGTACGGCCGCTCCTCGAGGCTCTGGTAGCTGAGGCTGTGCCTCAGCTCTGTAGACTCGCCCTGGAAGGCATCCCGGATCATGCCGATGAGGTCCTTCTGCTTGCCGGCTGCGGTCGATCCGCCCGCCGACGACGACGTGCCCTGCTTCGACGCCGACGAGTTGCTCCTGTTGCTCTTGACCGCGGCTCTCCGCTTGAGGGCAGAGTCGGGCGTCTTTGACTTGGGGGGCTCCTCGACTCTGGGGGACTGTGCCCTCCTCGCCTCGGGAGTCTCGGAGGGCGCGGCCGACCTCTCTTCCCGGGCGGGGGTCTCGGTTCCCGGAACGGGAGAGCTTCCGGATCCGCGTGACGACAGCCTCCGGTGATGTGTCCTTTCTGCGCCGGGGCTCGGACGCTTGGCCACGTCTGGCGACGCAGTCCTTTCCCGGGGCAGCGGCGATGTCCTCTTCTTTGGCGTCGGCGTTTCCGGCTGCGGTGTCGTCGGTTCCGCACTCCTGTGCGTCTCTGCCCTCTTGGGTATCCTGGGCGTTGTTGCTGTCGTCGCCGTCGTCGTCGTCGTCGTCGCTGTCGCCGTCGCTGTCGTCGTCACCGTAGTTGCTGCGGTTTCCGTCGCCGTCGTTGCAGTCTCCGCCTGGGCGGCGTCGACAAAAGGATCGACGGTATTGTTGAGCCATTTTTCGATACTAGGAGGCTTGTTGGATCCCGGCGGCGGCCGCGGGGGTTCGTTTATCTCATGAATCATCTTTCTCCCCTCGCCCATGACCTTTTTGAGGACGTTGGGGATCCCCTTGAAGCCGCCGCCGCCGCTCTGCTCCACCTTGGGACGTATCGGACGGCTACGGGCCGGTCCGTTCAGGGGCAGGTCCAGCTCTGTGAAGGCCGAGTTGCCAAAGGGGATCTCGCCCGGCAGGTCGGCGATGGACCGGTTCGCGACGGACAGCTCGGAGAGGAGCTGGGAGGCGTTGACGGCCGAGGCGCCGTCGTCGATCCAGGAGTCGTCGTCGCGGGTCCTCGTCACGCCGGCGTGGGTGCTCCTGGACCGCTTCTTGGTGCCGGGACGTGAACGGGAGGGGCGCGGGCTCTTGCTCCTGCTCTCGCGCCTTGCGGGGGCATGGGTTGCGGGGGCATGGGTGGCGGAGCCCTGGTCGTCGAGGCGGACAGCCTCGTCATCGTCTGGCTTCTTGGAGGCGGTCGTCTCCGACGGCGCCGATGGCTCGGCGGGCGTCACCCTGATGTCGGGGCGCGTGGCTGTAGAAGGTAGGGTCTTGCTCCTCCGGCGGCCGAGGCCGGTGGCGGGGGGCGAGCTGCTGACGGAGACGGCCGTCTCGTAGGCCAGGGCGCTGTCCTGCAGCGACGAGCTCGTCACGGCGCTGACCCTGGTGGCCGTGTCGTCGGTGCTGGTCCTCTTCCTCCTGACGGCCTTGATCCGGATGCCGCTGTCGCTCGTGCCCGGCTGCTTGGGGCGCAGCGACAGCCTGGCGGTTATGCGGCTGGACGTGGCGGTGCCCTCGCTTCCGAGGTCCGTCTCGGTCCCGGCGCCGTCGGAGAAGACGCTCCGGGCCGGGTGGAAGATGCGTGGCGGGGGTGGGGCGGCGGAGGCCTCGAGCTTCTCGGCCCAGTCTCTCGTCCTGCTGGCGACCCGGGGGGTGGGCAGGGTGCGGAGGGTGAAGTCCTTGGGCAGGGGCTGGCCGCGGGGGGGGGAGGCGTTGCGCTTGGCGCGCGGCGAGACGCGCCTCTGGGTGCCCTTGGCGCCCGTCTTCTTCTTCATCCAGTTGTCATCACTGACGACCCTCTTCTTGGGGTGGAACCCGGACCGGTCTATCGCCGAGGCTTCCTGGCTAGGTCTCGGGGAGGGGGAGAGGGAGGGGGAGAGGAGGGGGGAGGCGGCCGAGGCGGATGGATTGGCGGGGGTGCCGGCGGTGGAGGCCTGCTGCTGCTGCTGCTGCTGCTGCTGCTGCTTCTTCAACTTGAGCGAGTTCTTCCTCCTGTGGCGCATCTTTATGCGGATCCTGTCCTCCTCGGTGACGCTATCGAGGGCGTCGTTCCCGGCAAAGGCGAGGTCGGTGGGCTCGGTGGCGGTGTCGTCCGGGTTGGCGGATGCGACGGCGGCGTTGGCCTTCTGCCAGGCCTTGACACGGTCCTTGACGCCGCCGGGGGGCGCGACCTTTTGGACGGCACTCTGACGCATCTCCTGGCGCAGCTCCGCCTTGACAGCCTCGACGCTCCTCCTGCGCTCCCGCTCGGCGGCACGGCGGGCGGGCGAGGGGCGGCCCCTGAGGAAGTCGGACAGCAGGGTGGGTGGCTCGACGGGCTTCCTCGGCGTTGACATGCTGGAGCGCCGACGCTGGTGGGCGTGTCTGGGGGTCGCGGGTGACGGCCGGCCGCTGCTGCTGCTTCCGCCGCCGCCAGCGGCCTTGGCCTTGTCCTTGTCGACGTCCTTGTTCTTGTCGACGTCCTTGTTCTTGTCGACATCCTTGTTCTTGTCGACATCCTTGTTCTTGTCGACATCCTTGTTCTCTCCGTCGTCGTCGTTCCCGTCACGTCTGGAAGTGGCGGTGGTGGTCTGTGCGGAGTCGACGGCCGACTCGTTGGGCGTGGATGCAGCTCCAGGCACGGGGGGTTGTGCTGTCGTCGTCGTCGTCGTCGTCGTCGTCGTCGCCTCCTCGGGGGATTCGGGAGGAGGGGAGGAAGACATGGTGGAAGTGATGCTGCAGAATTTCAAGATGAGACGCACACACGTTAGCCGAGATGATTCCGAGAGGAAAGGGCGGGAAAAACAATGGGGAAAAAAAGAAGAAGAAAAAGGGTTGAAGGGGCGGGACGCACTGTTTACGGCATCAACATGCCTCCTCGTCGCGCGCGCTTCCGTGGCCAAGGGTTACAGGAGAGGTGTGCAGGACAGCCTACCGCCTCTGCATGGCCACAGAGCGAAAAGGAGAGAAAGAGGGAGGGGAGAGAAGGCGAGGGGGAGGATATGGTAACGAGTCGAGGATAGGAGACCCGAGTTGTTCGTGGTCGTGGTTGCGTTGTGTGTGCGGGATGTGGACTGTCGATCACCTTGGCGGGTCAAAGGGATGTACTCGTACACACAGACACGTCGGTGAGGTGGTCAGGTCAAGATCGGTGCCACAAATTCGGTGGGCGGAAGGAAGAAAAAAAGGAAGGAAAGAAGAAAAAGGTGACGGTAACAGGATAGGATGAAAAAGGAGCGAGAGGGAATATGGAGGGAGAGATCAAGGTGAGGAAAGAGGTGAAAAAGGAATGGTGGTCCTGTGACAGTTGGAGGTGTGTCTCGGCAGCTGTCAAAGAGGTTTGAAGTGGGATGGTTGGATTGGATATGGGAGGGGAGAGAGAGGGGGAGGGGGGGCGGGTAGGGAAATGGAATGGAGGTAGCTACGTACGGAGTTGGTGGGAAGGTATTGACGTATTCACATATACGACGTAATGGGGGTGGATGGATAGCATCAAATGACAAGAAATCAATACAGGTACAGAGTTACACGTCAGTGGAGTTTCCACAACACGAGGGAGTAGCTGTGAAGGATGATGTAGCAGTCTATAATCTGTACTCGTAGTATCATAGCATCATGGTACTATCCTGTGATCGTATGGAGCACCAGTGTGCTGGGCACATTATTTACATGTACAGGTCCGCAATAAACGCTGCGTCGTCGAGGCCCTAGGCACGAGTATAGACAGTACAGATTAACATGTACGAGGACATGGTATTGTTATTCCTTCATCTAAGACTCGACGGGTGCCACGGCAACGGTAACCGTAACAGTAACAGTAATAACCGTAATAGCACCAGCGGCCCCACCGGTAAGATACATAACAATGATGATGATAGAATTGTAAGAAAATGAGTAGAGAAGACTGAAGAATGGTATGATTATAACGAAATGCAAAAGAAATTTACAGTATACACACACACACACACACACATATATATATATATATACATATATATATATACATATATATATGCGAGGACTCGATGGAAGTCAGAACGAGGCCGACATCCGATGATTCCAGCAAAAGTCCAGCTAACCCCTGCTGCGATACGCTGTAATCGTGATGTCGTATCGGTAATCCGCACCGGCTGCAGCAGTGTCTTCTAGCGTCCCACGGGCTGCCCCTCCGCTAGCTCACTAGCTCGGCAGTGTGCGAGCACGGCTACGGGCAATGCTCGTACCGGTACTCCGTACGGTACGGAGCATCATCACGTAGAGGCTGTCGGGATCCTGGAACCTAGTTACAGGGGGGTGTTGTCCTGATAGAGCATCATCTCAGACCGGTATGGGCGGGGTCCACAGAGCCTTGGAGCCTGCCAGAGTAACGGAGTATCTCAGTGAGGGACGGAGCTTATGCATCTCATCAGCGCCCCCACTACGGCATACGAGGAGTATCACGTAACGCTCCGTACCCTGCTCCGTACTCTGCTCTGCACATGCATCGAGACCAGGTTCGTTCTCTGGGCCTTGTCAGCTGCGATATTCGTAGGGAGTGTGCATGGTGTTGCCATATATGTGATGGCGATGATATTGCGGGCAGCAGGTGACCGTGAAGGAGCATCTCCAAGATGCTCACCCGTACACGCATCCAGTACAGGTTATAGTAGATGATCGTAGCGTCCGTCACATGACGGTGCACGGGAGGAGATCTCGTCAGCTCACCTCACCGTCCGTCTGTCCTGCCTACCCTGGATAGACGAGACGCCGATCGAGTCTGGGACGTGACAAAGTGCATGCGCGGGTAATGATGATGCTGCATGAGAATGAACAGAGGTGCATTCGATGGCATGCATCGATATATCGCCCGTAGGCGAGCGGCAGAGTCCCTGCCAGGACACGACCATGCCTGTTTCCTCTGTCCTCGTGTTGCTGCTGATCTGAACTCCATCACCACGAACACGCTTCCAATCTTCGCACAAGAGTCAACCCCCACCGAGATGTCGTAAGACGACCTCGTGCCGATGCATGGTGACGCACAACGTCATCAACAGCAGTCTTGTATATCTATACCGGCGGCATCTCGTACGTTTCAATCAGGGTCTGCGGTTTTGACCACTATACACCGACCACACTGCTGCTGTGCATCTTCGCCTCATCTTCTCCCCGCCTCGCATCCCGCACTTGTCCAGCCTGGGCGGACGAGCTGCTCGCGCACGTGTCACGCCGCGTATCCGTGTATGCGTGCCACGCAGACAAGAAGAGAAAGAAGAGGAAGAAAAGTCTGATGGGTTGGGGGTGGGGGGAGCATCGGTGATTCTATTGAAAGATGTGTACACGGTAGCTACATATTGCATTCCCTAGATGAACAGGGCATACATGTTCTTCTTCCAGGGCATGTATACACACCCACCCACACATACACGCACACGCACACGCACACGCACACACACACACACACACTCTCTCTCTCTCCCTCTCCCTCTCTCCCCATCTCCCTCCCATCTCTCTGCCCTCTCTACCAAGCCGTATGCCCGCCATCGATGACGATGTTGCTCCCCGTCATGAAGGTGCTCGCGTTGCTCAGCAGGAACAGCGCGGCGCCCTTGATCTCGCTGGGCCGGGCCAGCCTCCCCATCATATTCTCCCGGCACCACCTCTCCATGAGGGCCGGGTCATCCTCGACCATCTTCTCGATCATCGGCGTCATCATGTGGCCCGGGCTGATGCAGTTGATCCGGATGCCTCCGGTGCCGTCCTGGCCGAGGGGCGACCACTCCATCGCCAGGTTCCTGGCCAGCTGGACCACGGCCGCCTTGGACGAGTTGTAGACGGGCGACACGAGCCCCTTGTTGGCCACGTAGGCCGACATGCTGGCGATGAGGCAGATGCTCCCGCGGCAGCGGTACTGCATCATCTTGCGCGCCGACACCGCCGCCGTCATCAGCACCCCCGTGTAGTTGATCGAGAGCACCTCATTGGCCTCGGACGCCGTGTACTCCAGCGCCGGCTTCACCTGCTGCACCCCCGCCGCCGCGATGACCCCGTCCAGGCGCTGATGCTCGTCCGCGATCCCGCCGATGATGGCCTCCAGGCTGTCCGTGTCCTGCACGTCCACCTGCTTGTAGCTCAGGCTGCCGCCCCATTCCGGAACCACGCGGCTCTGAGCCTCTTCCCACTCATCGTCGGGGTGCTCTAGCCTGTCGAGGCAGAAGACTGCAGTGTTGGTCAGTATGCTCTCTCTCTCTCTCTCTCTCTCTCTCTCGGCATTGATCCTTGCTGTGATGGAGTAGGATCTCTGCCAGTCTTTCTTCTCTCTCTCTTCTTCTTCTTCTTTTCTTCTTCTTCATCTTCTCTGCTCAACTTCTCATCAAGGAGAAAGCTCACCTCGACCGCCTGCCTCCACGAGCCCTTCGGCTAGATGCAGTCCCAGACCCCTGGCACCTCCTGTGACGACGAATGTCCTTCCCCTCAGGTCGAAATCGGCGAATTGCTTGCTGCCCACGTTGGCGTCCTTTGGAAGCGATCCAGGCTGCGTGACCGTGTCTATGAATTCTTGCATGGTCATGATGGTTGTCTGTGGTGGACGAGGACGACGACGACGACGACGACGATGATGATGATGGTGATGATGATGTCGTAGAGTGACGATGCGTAGAAGAATCCTTCAGGTTCTCAAAGGCGACTGTAGAATATCCGTATCTTCATGCCCTACCTATCGATTCATCTTCGTACTTGAGAGATGTTAAATACCAGAGATGAAAATTTCAATGATGACGATAGATGACAAGATACCCGTGCCCGACCTCGAATATGTTGCACCGCCTCCACGGAATCGGTGGTGACGCACACAATCAGTGAGTCTCTACGTCATCAATCCGTGGTTGACCCCTGCACCATGTGAACGATCCCAGCTCTTTCAGTCGAAGCGTACATGCAACTCTTATATGGGCATGCTTGTGACGTGTTGGACCGGCGAGACGGTTCGCGTGGCGAGAATTTTCCCCCCCCTCTTGTATATTACCACACACGTCTTCAAGTAAGCAGCTGATAGTGACAAATTGTTCGACATGGGATGCATGTATGTATGCGTCTGTCTGTCTGTCTGTCTGTCATGGCAATGGGCTGTACCCTCTTCTTCCTGGGCGCATGCACCGCTACGATGTATGACGTCTTACACGAGATCTGTGCATGTATCAGGGGGCGGCGGGTGGATTGTACCATATACCACATCGTATCGACTATCCGCTGTTTCGCATGTACGTCAATCATTCTGCCGCTCGAAGGATGAGGTACAGGCCTCGTGACCGTCCCATCCTAGGTCATACGTGATGCATGCAACTAAACCCTGGGAAGAGACGTAATAGACTGCAATACTCACCGTGGGGGAGGGGGCAGCAAAGGTCTGTGCAGCACGCACAAGTTGGATCACACGGTGATACACGATGGCCACAGACAGGTTATTTTTCCAGGACATCGGAACGATAGAAAGCCATATTATGCTCGGACGAGTACTCCTGCTGGCAGCGAGCAAGGGTTATATCTGGCTCTCTCTAACCATGGGCCTGCGTGCAGGTACGTACACTGTACTGAAGTAGGTCGTGGTAACCTGTTACTGCTGATCAGATATGAGGAGAGTGTAATATTATATACATGTCCCTATCCATCCCAACGCCAGCAGAATGCATCACCGATCGCATCGAAGAGCAGATACTCCATCCATGCAGAGAAGACTAATGCGAGGAAGGAAAGAAACATACAGAGAGGAAAGAAACATACAGAGAGGAAAGAAAGAAAGAGAGAGAGAGAGAGAGAGAGAGAGAGAGAGAAAGAGAAAAAGAGAGAGACGGAAAAAAAAAAAAGAAGAAAAAAAGTCTCATCGCCCCTCGGGCAGCAGAAACCTAACCCTCTTGGTGCTCTTGGTATCATCACCCCTCCCCTTCCCAACATCCCCCTGCCCACCCTCGTCCTCCGCCTCCTCCTCGATAGACCAGACGTCCGGGCTCGGCTCCCTCCAAAGATGCGAAGGTCTCCTCCTCGTACCGATCGTAGCCGTCACGTTGCCCACACCGCCTCTGCCCCTCCCCCGTGCTAGGGTCGACCGGCTGCTCCCCCTCCGTGGGTGTGATGCTACAGACGACGACGACGAAGGAGACAGCAGAGCGCGGGCTTTGCGACCAAACTGTCGGGGGGGAGGAGGAGGGTAGTACCCCGCTCTCGATCTCGGTCTACCATGGTCATATATGTAGCCTTCCTCTTCTTCTCGTTCCCCTTCTACTCTCTCTTCTTCCTCTACCTCGCCTTCTTCGTCGGAATCGAGCGACGACAGCGAAATCCCCGAAGAATCGCCCTCCTCTGGCGACGAGGGATACGAGTTCACCGATGTCATGTATGCCTGGCTATCGATGTCCTGGTGGACGCTCTGCGGCGGCCGTGGTGGTGCGCCGTCCGGTCTGGACAGGCCGGATAGCGATGATGGGCTGACGCTGCGGACGGGCTCGGTCGGATGGTTGGGATCCTCTATACCAGCGTCCAGAAACATCATCCCCTCATCGCCATCATCGTCGTCGCCGCCGTCGTCGTCGCCGTCGTCGTCGGGTGGCGTGAGAAAATATGTTAGGGGATCTTGGTTGATTATCTCCTCGAGAGGCTGTTGCCGGGCCTCCTCTGACGGCGATGACGACGGAGGTTTCGAATGCTGATCTGTCAGACGGACTTGGGTCGGGGGCCAAGAATCCCGACGAGACATGGCTTCTGAGTGTGAAGGCATCGTTTTCGAAACTGGGATGACAGTTTTTGAGAAGGGAGAGATAAGAAGAAGAAGAAGAAGAAGAGAAAAGAAGGAGTAGGAGAAGAGAAAAGAAGGAGTAGGAGAGGAGAAGAAGGAGAAGAGGAGAAAAGAAGGAGTAGGGGAGAAGAAGAAGAAGAAGAAGCGAGCGTGTCCAGTTTATCCCTCTTCACACTCAGATATTTCCCCCGAGTTACACCGGCTTATGAGATGGAATATTGAATGACGAAAAAAAAAAGAGAGAGAGGAAAGTAGAGAAGAAGACCAGATGAGGTCTCTTCCAGATATATATATAGAAAACTGCAGCGATACTGACAAAAAGCTCTCATCACAGCCTCGCTTCTCATGGGAAAAGACAAAGCTGAGAATGACCAATACGTCGGATCAGGCGTCATCATCTTCACACCCATCTCGCTCACCATTTCACTCACCCATCTGAGTCATCCCTACACTTTCAACTCCGCCCACTCGAGTCATACACACACACGCACACGCACACGCATACTCACACTCACACTCACACACACACACTCACCCACACTCACCTACACACACACACTCACCCACCCACACACTCACTCACCTACCTCTCTCTCAACGCAACAAGCATCAGCCGAGGAGGGAGGAGGTCATCCGCATATTCCAAAGTGGGGGGAGGCACGCACACACGTGGACACATCCGCAGTGTACAGCGCAATAGTTCCTCGCAGGTTTCCTCTTCACGAACTACAAGTTACCGGCAACCCCTCGGAACATGTCACTTGCTACTATCTGCTGGGTATCGGATGATAATACTAGAACTCCTCTGATTTTCTTTTCTCTTTTCAGACCGTCGCTATGCAGGGGTTATCGAACCATGGTGGAGGTCATCGTGCATTGCACCGTCAGAGAGCTGAATCTCTTCCAACCTTTCTTTGATTGCTATTTATTATCTTATCATTATTATTATTACTATTATTATTTACATGTGTACGCACACATAATATGTCCTCGTACGTCGTCGTCGCCTCCCAAATCTTCAACCCTCAAAACCTGTACGCCGATCGCGATCTTCTTCCCATCCCACACATTCTAACGTAATACTGATGCGAGACATAGGATATCCAAATCTGGCTCATACCCCGCTACCTGGGACGGACTCTCCGATGGCGTCCTCATCACACACGAGAACACATGTCCCTGCAAGGAACATCCTCACGCGTCGCTTCTCATGTCACTGTGTATTACTACCACACACACACACACACACACGCACACATATATATATATATATATATGTGTGTGTGTGTGTGCACGTGTTTCGCGCGGTTGCCGACGCGGGACTGTTCACCCTCGACCGAGGATTCGGAGAGATCGAGGCTGATGATGTTGATGTTGGGAGGTTGGTAAGCAAGACGTATGCTACCCGCACTCAGCTGCTCGGCGTAGGCGCCATGGTGATCGATGATGGAGGAGGCAGAGTGGCGTCAACTGGGAAGGCGAGCGTGTTACATATCACATACTCTTCGCTTCAACAGCAATGGCAAATGCCGACTCGTACGGATATGCCAGACTTTGTCGTGTACGGGTAAGAGCAACGCATTCATCCGAGTCGCTTCATTTTCCCATCATTACCCCGGTCATATATGATATGTATATCATATGATCATGTTGGATGCGAAGACCCTCACATCCCTGAAGAGGGCAACCACCTGCCCCCCCTCCTCGTTCTGAACGATCTCACACCGAGAAGCTGATTGATAAGAAGAACCCTGAGGGCACAACCGCAAACCGCCAATTCGATCGATATCGAACACATGCCCGTCTTCCTATGTCGTGATACCAACCCGCATGGTGAACAAGGAGTAAAGATACAATAATACAAAAAATACAAAAAAAAAGATATACGGAGTATATACAGTAGTATTTTTCCGACATGCTACGGTACGGGATCGCACGGAATGACGAGCAGTGCGACGGCGGCAAAGCGCATGCATATCATAAGACTACCCCCCCCCCCCCCCCCCCCCCCCCCATCACATCATGATGCCACGATACATGCCACATTCTTCTTCCGATCCATTCTGAAACTTGAAAAGACTGGTAGGCCATCTGCGGCCCAGGGCCGGGACTCTTATAGTGGACCACCGGGATTGTCACCCCATCGCCAAGTACGAGTAATACGGGGGGGGGGGGAGTAATACTATGATTGTATTAGTAGCTGCTCCGTCCAGCCAGACTAAAATAATAGTACTACGAGTACACGTACTCGTACTCTGTTTTTACTAGTATCGATCAAATTGGGGGTTTTTATTTTTAACCTTTCTTTTTCTTTTTTTTTTCTCAAAAAAAAAAAAAAAACACTAAACCTCCTACCCAGCTCATCATTTCGTAGTAACGCTGCGGCTGATAAAACACGAGTACAAGTTCCGCGTTCCGGATCCCTCCGTCCGGACATTCCCTCTCCTAAATCGTGCAACTCTCCTATGGGGTCATCAACAGACAGACTCGAACAAAGTCTTTTTTTTCTTCTTTTTTCTTTTTCCGTTCATGATATACCGTATATATATATTTCATTTTCCGTCTCATCTGCCCGGGTTTACCCCTCCCCTTGTAAATGTCACATAGGGAATTCGCAGCCCGGAGGCGACAGATACGGTCATCCCCACCGGTACTATACACCATACTGTTCGGAGCGGCGCTTATCCTAGGACTGGCCGCATCGTGGTACGGCCGACAAGAATATCAGCCTGCAGTGGTCGGTGCTGATGTGCGACATCATCACCAATCGGGATATGAGCATCAGCGGCAGCGGCAGCGGCAGCGGCAGCAGCAGGAGCAGGAGCGGCTCGGACGCATCAGTGCCGATCAGGTTGTCGTCGGCGGTGGCCGCGGCCGCGGCGGCCGCGGCAGAGACAGCGCAGGTGGCAGCGCCATCCGGATAATAACCTACAACGTCCGCCACGCCAGCCCAGCCACGGAAGTGGTGGGCGAGCAGCCATGGCGCGTCCGCCTGCCGAAGCTGTGCGCGCAGCTCCGCTTCATGACGACCGGCCACACGAGCGTCTTCCTATGCCTCCAGGAGACGCTGCACGAGCAGCTCACGGACGTGCAGTCGTGTCTAGGTCCAGGGTGGTCGTACGTCGGTCAGGGTCGGAGTCGGGGTCGCGGTGGCGTCCGCAGCGGCAGCAGTTCCGAAGAGGAGGAGGAGGAGGAGGAGGAGGGTGAGGATGAAGACGACGACGAGTTCTCTCCCATCTTCTACCGCTCCGACACGTGGTCGCCCATCATCGGTCGCGGAACTCAGACTCGTCGGCTGAGCGAGACGCCTCTGGTGCCGTCACGCGGGTGGGACGCCAGCGTCAATCGGATCGTCACGGTCGGACATTTCACCACCTGCTCCGACGGCGACGGAGACGGCGAAGGTGGAGTAAGCGTCGTCATCATGAACGTCCATCTTGACCGTGTGGGAGCTCGTTCTCGGCCGGAGTCTGCCCGTATGATTGCGGATATGGCGGGGGAGCGGTCCTGGTCGTCGGCGTCGGCGCTCTTCGTCGTCGGCGACTTTAATAGTAGCCCCGAGGACGAGGCCTACAGGATCATGACCGGGGAGGTCGAGGATGGTGGTGGTGGTGGTGGTGGTGGTGAAAGAGCAGGAGGAGGAGGAGGAGGAAGAGCAAGATTCTCCGACATGGCTCATCTCGTGGCTCCGGATGAGTACTACGGTCATCACCTCACTTACACCACATTCGGCGAGCCGGATGAGAGGCCCAGCCGTATAGACTACCTGTTCATCCGGGAGCCGAGGACGGCCGTGGTGAGGACGTTTGGTGTTCTGCCTAATAGTTTTGACGACCATGTCCGCTTGTCGGATCATCGTCCTGTCGTATCGGACGTGTACGTCTGATCTTCCTCTCTCCCTTCTCTTCTCCCTCATTCAAGGCAAGAGGGGGGAGGGGGATTGCACAGTACACGCATTGAGACCGAGAGCACCCCATCAGCCGAGGGCATCACTCACCCTCTCCTTCGCATGTCATTCACGCGGTGAAGAGTCAAGAGAAGTTGAAGCTCTCTCCCCTCGTTACACGCGCACACACGGAATATCACCATGTGAAAATCTGAAGGAAAGGAAAGGAAGGAAGGGCAAGAACAACAAAGAAAAGAGAGAGAACGGAGGAGAAAAAAAAAACAAGATTCCACCGAGCAAAGCTCCGAGACATGGTACCGGGCGACCCGACGCACCTGTCTCACCAGCAAGTGAAACCAGGGAAACTACTCTCCTTGTTTCTTTTCCTTGTTTTATTGTGCGGCAATACCTGTGCACTTGATGATTCGGCAATGCACACTGGTCAATACTATATAGGTCGTAATGCTGTACGAGTATACCGTGGGAGGGTTTGAACAGCCAAAGGTCGAGAAGTGGAGTCGGCTTTCTTGTATTGTACCACGTATCTTTATTCTACTATTCTACTGCTGGATTGCGTATGCTCCTCTTCCCATTCCTTTCCTGTACATGCAGGAATAACAAAGACATCGGCCGAGACGGGATCATGTCGTGTTGCTGTATCACAGTCTTCACCTCTCTCATGACTCTGGTAGATGTTCAACTTCCTCCAGCTACATCACCAACTCAATCGACAATCTCAGCATACCTAGATGTTATAAGAGAGAGAGAGAGAGGGAGAGAGAGAGGAAACAAATGTGGATGTGGTCATGCTTGCTTATCAGATATTATATAACATCTCCAACATCGCCTTATTCCTTAGTTGGTCCCATGTCCCATACTGAGAAAAAATCCCCAAATGACGTCTTTTTCTTCCCTTCCAATTTCCCCATTTGGAAGGCCGCAACCCTTTTTTTTTTTTCCCTCGCACCTTTCCTCTCTCTCTCTCTCTCTCTCCCTCCCCCCCCTTCTCTCTCTCTCTCTCTCCGCAACTCCACTTTTCAGATGTACATGTAGATATCCCGAGAAAGGGTGGGGAATATAAACCACCATAGAATGGCGGTGAAGCAGCATATTATCCATCCGAACCTGTACCGGTCCTTTCTCTTGTTTCTTCTCTCGTTGAAGTGGACGGTAGAAAGAAGGAGAAGCTTGGGCAGTATATCACTCAACATCCCTTGTTATGGTATACGGATTCTACTACTATACGGTGGGAGGTTCCATGTAAAACGTGCAGAATATATTCACCGCATTCATATATGAAAAAGAAGGAGAAGAAGAAAGAAAAAGGAAAACAGCATGTGAGAATACCCAGCGTGTCTTGTTGGGGCGTTCCCCCTCAGAACCAGAGAGGCATACGACCACGGCGATGAGCGGGCGTGCATCATCAATTCTGTGATACAGCTTGCATGTTGTGATGACACGATGAGATTTTTTTTTTTTTTAAAAAAAAGGGACCATCGTGTCTTGCTCTGGATCGTTTGATGCTCGTCATGCTTCTTACGCGTGCCAGTTCCGTTGTCCAGCAATAGGTACAACTGAGACAGACAGATAGAGCGCAGCCGGGAGGGCGAGAAGAGCGCCGATGAGGCGCAGACATGGGGTCAAGATAGATCTCATCAACTCCATCTTTTCTCCTTGCCATCATCACGAGCGTAGTTCGTGCGGCCCTTTCTCTTCTTCTCTGAGTCGTTGCCTGCTGCCTATTGGATCACGTAGTACGGAGTGATACACAGCCGTTTCTCTCTACCTGAACCCTGCCGAACGCTCCTCTCCTACCTGGATCCTCTACCCTCTGATTCTGCAAGGTTTAACAGGAAAGAGGGGGGGGGAGGACAAGCAGCTGGCAGGAGAGTGAGCAAATGGGTAACCAACCACCCCCACTCCCACTCCGCCACCCCTTCGTCGCTACCGCTTCCCGCTCCCCCGATGTGCCATCATCAGGGTGGTGGCGCTCTGCTCGGATGGGGGTTGACCATGTTTGATGCGCAGATTCATCAATCATCCGCGTCAAGCAAGATGCAGACCGCCCACCGGCAGTTGATGCACGGAGCCCGGCGCTGAATGAAGCGTCCATCGTATATAGGACTAGACTAGACGTACATGTCCCGCTGACCTTTTGCGTACGCACGCTGTACGCAGTATATCTCGCCCTCATCTTGGCACCGATGGTCAGGAGAGTCGAGTGCATGCAATAGTCAATCATCAAACATCATAGGTCCCTACGTATTACCTTTATCCCCCCCCCCAAAAAAAAAAAAAAAAAATCTTTTTGAAAAAAAAAGAAGAAAGAGAGAAGAAAAGGAGATAAAGGGCAAGAGCACAGGCACTGTCAAGACCCTCAGTGCTAGGTGGTGAGCGCTGTAGTGATGCTACCTCGTAATACATGGGAGCCGGGACCGGAGGGGATTCCAAAGACATCTGGGGGTGATGATGTATGCTTATCGCCCGTTTGCTAACTCGGGGGGGCCTAAGAGACTGGGAACCGGAAATGACTAATTCGTTCAGAGGAAAGGGGAGGGAGGAAGAGAGCGAGAGGGAGGGAGGCAGGGAGGACGACGGCATGCAGGCTATGCGCACTCGCACCAACTCGGAGACTCACGGGTTGTCTTGTGAGGGGGATGTGCATGACGGGGTCGACAACCATTGGACCCTCGGCCCCGTGAGCCTTTCTCTCTTGACCGGAGCTCACTAGTTGGTGCGCTGGCAAGCAAGGACAGAGCGATGCTCTGTCCTGTGGCTGTGTGGCCCTGGCTGGTGATAGTGTGTGGGCTGTCTGCACAGGTAAAATGCCCCCCCCCGCCCACCCTTCTCCTTCTTTCCCTCTGTGGTGTGTGTGTGTGTGTGTGTGTGTGATATGTGTCCGGCCGCCCGAGGACAGTGTCTTGCACGTCTCTGGTGAAGAAGAGAGATTTCTCACCATCGGGAGGCAGATGCGTTGGAGATTTTGCTGTCCAATGCCTCCGTTCTGTAGACGCTCACCTTGTCTCTCTCGCTTCCCTGGCAGGAAATACAGGGGTTGATGCCCGACATGGGTTGTTGTGAAGAGGTGCGGTATTTGAATATTCTCGGTGGCTTTCAAGCTCTGACCGGGAGTAGAGGACTGGAGAACCCAGGGATGATCATTGAACATTGTGTCTCTATCGGTAGAAATCTGCTTCCCCTGCCGGGGATACCCCTGCTAGACACTCGGTTGAGTTGTGGTAGGGAGTGCATGTGTCGTAGAGAAGAAGAGGGAGGCTGGCAAGAGAGCCACGCTGTCGTTCCGCACTGCCCCAGATGACCAGGGAGAGACTTGGCACTATCCGGATTCGAACCCATCATGCTCTGCTGTACTCGTCAGAGCAAAACCGCGAAAACAACGGCAGCGGCAGCAGATAAAGAAATGGTGAGTCAGAGGAGTGTGTGACGGAAGAGAGGCTGGCTTGTGGAGCATGTACTGGTAGAACCGGCCAGGCGGCACTGGCTTGGTCTTAGCTTGCTTGCGGCAAGGAAAAGAAACAAAAATCGAAATAAGGGTGAAATCAGAGGGTAAATCGGAGACGATGAGAGAGACTGGAGGAAAAAGAACCCACCAGGACGGGAGTGGGCGTCGTCGGCGCCGGAAAGACTCCACAGTTGGGCTGAAGTGCTTATGGTGTCCGTCTAGGGTTGGCAGGTAAGGTGAATCGCCTCGACATAGTCCTGTGAGCGACGACGTCAATCGAATCGACGATATTCTAGAAGGGTTGGGCTATATGATCAAAGCCAGGCATCGGAGATATTATTAGCTTCCCATTTATGAGGCACGGATTCAAGGGTTAGGTGAATGCCTCTGCCACGATGACAGCCCGCACACTGTCGCGTCAACCGGCTGTGATGATGGGCATTGACCATGACCCTTGGCGATTGTCTTTACCATATCCGCTTGCTAGGAGTAATATGGGACGCACGCACATAATTGCGGCTCGCAGTATGGCTGCTCGTACATCCAGAGAAAGAAATCGTGCTCGTACCGCGTGCATGTACACGTTGTCGTCCCCAGGCTGATGTTCCCTAGACATACGCCCCAGAACACGTCCAGACACGCCCCCGACAAGGGCTGAGGGCGAGCAACGTGGGTGGCGAGTTGGGCTGTTACTGTCGGGCGTACGCAGTCGGGATTGGTACGTGTCAGGCCTCATACGAGCAGTCGCAGTGATGGCGGTAGATTCCTGCTGAAGCGTTGAAGGTTGGGACACGTTCTCGCCGGGAAACTCATCAAGACGAAGCACGGGGAAGCCTGGAGAAGGGGGTGAAGCAAGGCGGCTGTGATTGAATCATGGCAGCAAGCATGAGTATCGCCACGGCGCAGTCAAGATTAACACACTGCACTCTCTGCTGAGCATCTCAAGATGTGGGGGGGGGTGTATCCATCATGCTACATCTTTGTATGCACGGGAGGCGGGAGAAGGCACGATGCAGAGAATAGGTGACGGAGGGCAAGCATGAGAGACCGGGGGGGGGGGGTGTTCTGGGGTCGTTGCTCCATCCCCAGGCATGGCATCAGCATCTGTAAGTATTACTGGGTCCGTGGTGAGTACAGATTACAGATACAGCGTATGGATACGAAGCATGAGTTACGTGTAGTACTCAGCATAAGAGTACTCCGTACCAACGCTCCTGATATACGTATACAAGCCAAACGCTTGGCTGATCAGTGTGAGATGGATGTACCGTCGTAACAGGTCATCTGCGTGTGGGAGACAGACGGGGAAAGAGAGAAAGAGGGCGCGAGTTGGGAAGAGTCCTCAGTTGGTTGTGGCACACATAACGAAGCAGGTGGGTGTCAAGCCTATGGCCGCAGCCTACGCCGTGAGTCTATGCTGGGCCTGTGCTGGCGGTTGCGTGTGGCCCTGTGGGTAGACAAGGTAGGGTAGGTGCACCCCTTGTCCAGGTCCTTCCTCCCCTCGTTTGCTCTCACTCCCCCCCCCCCCTCCTTCCCCCATCTTGAGTGGCACCTGGACCTGGCTACATACAGGGTGCAGGATACGCCGTGCGGGTTTCTACGACTGCGTTAGTGTTCAGTACTCCTGTGCAGCAGTAGTAGGATTTGTATTTAGCGGTGATGCATTGGAGAGTAATGCAGAGAGGACCGGATGCTGCTATTACATATCGCTCCTAGTATTAGCAGCGCGGAGTAATAGTACGAGCAGTAATAGACTTGTATTAGCAGCAGTAGCAGCAATAGCAGTACGTATCATACTAGGTGATTAGGAGCAGTGAGTGTAACAGGTGTTTTTCTTACTAGCCGTCACCCCAAACAGCAAGAGCGACTACCGCCTAGCGCCTGCCCATTAGCCTGTTAGATCAACACCACTTACTCCAACCAGCCGCGCCAACAGGCCACGCCGACGGGTCGCACAACCTCTGGGCCTTCTCTGGGCTTCCCTGGGCTCACCCTCCGAGCCTCTGTCCCACTAGGCTACACTGCTCACCTGTGTCCGGGCGCTCAGTGCTCAGTGCTCAACTACCACCTAGACGTCGGGTTATGTGGACTGTGAATCACTCAGGGTCACTGACTGTTCCACCCCCCC